AAGTTAATCAGGCAGATGCACAGTAAATGTCTCATTTAGATGCGCCCATGGAGGAGCAGCTACAGTCAACGTGGCTACAGCCATGTGATCTGTGCCAAATTGGGAATGTGTTGGTGTCTCCATCCCACTTCCTGCTGCTGCTTTCTGGTACAGCATGCTCTGGAATACGTGGAGGAGCTGCTATTGTGGCCATGGCCACAGCTATGCATGTTTGTTCTGCACCAAGTACTGGGCTGGTGAGGGATATCACCCAGCTTAGCCACTGCAGCTGCTGCCTAGCACAGGGTATAAAGCAAGGTACAGAGCATTCTTCACCAAGCAGCTGCTATAGCTTCAGGGACTGGGACAGAAGCAGCAGCATGCCCCTGACCAGCTTGACATGCACTGCAGAGCAGACCATGTGACCCAAGCCACAGCCACAACTCCTCCCCAGGTCTCTATGCCATTCTGCATGATGTACTGGATTGGTTGGGGATCTGCTAGTGCCTCTGTCCAAGTTATAACTGCAGCTGCTGCAGGGGCACAGTACAGAATGGGCTGGGTAGCTGTTGTTGCTATGGAAGCTCCTTTACATGCACCTAAGTGCACTGCACTTCAGGATACTCCTCGCAGTCTACTGCATCCTGGAGCTCGGAGAGCCAGCTAAAAAAGCTCTGCAGAGGAACCACCATATGGGCTGTATATTACTGATCCCTGATTTAGGTTATATAACCTCTCTACATTCCTATTTATACACCCTAGAAGACTCAAGCCTTTTTAGTCCTGGTCTCATTCAACTGATTATCCACCAAGACCCATAACTCCTTGGTAAGAGTCAAACTCCTCCGGATAGAATCCCCATCCAGTACATATGGCCTATCATTTTTGGTTCTATATATAATTTACATCTGGGCATATTAAAATATATATTGCTTGCTTCTACCCACCCTACTAAGCAATCAACATCACTCAACATCACCCATTTTAACTATTTCACTCTCCTTAAGTCATGTGCAAAGATTAGCAGCAGCAATTTTGTTTTGCTTGAGGTTACTGATAAAAATGAAAAAAAAAAATAGAACAAAGAAGCAGTTCCCAGAGGAACACCAATAGGAACAAGTCTGTTCCCCATTTACAATTTTGTGAGTGCTATCAGTTGGTTAGTTTTTAATCAATTTAAACATGCACTATGCTAATTTCGTATTATATTTTCTTAAGAAAAATGTCATGCAGTTCTCAATCAACCGTCTTTCTGAAGTCTAGGTATGTTACATACAGTATGTCCTCACCATAGCAATAACATCCCAGCAAAAACACCCACAAGCATGACTCACCCACCTGCTCCCACTCACGTACTCCAAGCCTGGAAATAAACCACCGTGATCATTCCAGACAATCCAATCCCTCTATAGCCTATCTTAGAATCTTCACCTCAAGCAAGCTTGAAGAGTGGCTATTAGAGATATCTTGAAATGGCCTGATAAACATTTCTGGGTTTGAAGTATGGACACAGGTGAAGGAATGGACAGACAGGGCATACTCGGGAGCATCCCAACCAAGGTATATAGCTTCTTGGTGTAGATATGCATGGGATGCACATCAGATGTGTAATCTCCTAAACATAATATTGCTTCATTTTGATAAGATCTCTTTTCCATAAACCTATGCTGGCTGGCATTATATTACCTGCTTTGTTGATGAATCAAGCTTTGTATCAGCTATTCAATTATTTTGCCTTGGATCAGGTAGACAGGCTTAGAACAGCCTTAAAAAATTCACCCCTTCCTAAATGTTAGCATTATATTAATTTTCTTCCAGTCCTCTATAATAGGGCTGTCCAGCTCACGTCCCACAGAGTACGAGACCCCCCCATTAATTTGCAGCTCTTGGGCTCTCATCTAGCTATTGCTTCCCCCATTACTCTGGTTGAACCAGGAATCAGGATCTGCAGGCTCCATCCTACCTACTTCCTAGTTGTCCCCCAGGGGCAGCACAGTCCATGGCACATGCAGAAAGTATGGGGCAGACACCAGCGCTCATGGTGCCTGCCACAGGGTGGGACACGGACAGCCTGCAGCCCAGGGAACTTGTGGCTTATGTTTAGTAGCCCCAGCTGTTTAGTAGTTGGACAGCCCTGCTCTAGGACATTAAGTGTTCAAAGAGCTCCTTGGCCAGGTCTTTTAAAATCTGTGGATCCAAATGATCTAGGTCTACTTAACCTAAAAATATCTAGATTTCATAGCTTCTGATGATTAATTCCCTCCTCAATTGCTGCTAGAACACAAAGTATTTCATTACTACCACATGTTATAACTGTATCACTTGGCCTTTTCCAAATATAGAACAGGAATATTCACTGAACAATCTGTCCATTCTGCAGCACTATTAAGAATTTTACTTTTTGTGTCTAATAATGGACCATTTCTAGAATTCATTTTGTTCCCACAACTTGCTTTAAAAATTCTTCATCTTACTTAATATTGCTGGCCAGATTCTTCCTGGTGTTCTTTTGCTTCTCTTTTCACCTTTCTCGAGTTTCTGGTTTTGGATTTATATTAGTTATCACCAACTTCCCTTTTCTTCCACTTATGTTTTTATTGCCCCTTATGCTGGCTTTTTAATCAGTTTAGCCATCCCTCTTAATTCTGGGATTTGGGGCTTCTAGTGCAGGACTTGAGCAGTTCCCAATTGTTATTAACATTTTCCCATTTAAATTATTTTCCCCCACATAATGTGTCTTTTAATTGTTTTCAGTCTTGCAAAGAACATCAAAATATCAGCTACATAAAAAACAAAGCATTGAGAGTGTCTGTGTATGTGTAAACTGCATGTTTGTGTATATAAATTGGTTTGGACAACTTCTGTTTACACATGACCAATATAACTAATTCATGATAATGTGTCTCTAAGCTACCAATACTTTAGGTTCTGGATCAATTTCTGCTGAAAGAAATTAAAACAAGGTTAAAACTATGAGTGTTTATAAATGTGCTCCAGGAGTTGGGGTGCTTTAAAGCGCCCAGAGTGTCACATGTATCAGTGTCCCTGAGCTGAAAAATGGCGGCAGGGACCATTTTTCCTGCTACCATTTTTCAGCGTAGAGACGCTGATAGATGTGATGCTAGAACATGGTCTAGGGTCTGCTAAAGTGTGGTAATTACCACATTCCAGCAAACTCGATTAATTAAGTTTGCTCTGACACACTGTAATTACAACACATCGGAGCAGCCTCGCTGCACGTCTATAGGCAACCTATATGACTAGCCTTTAAAATACACTAATTAGGTATATAAAATGACAAACTACACAAGTTTCCATCTGTGAATGGTGAAATAATGATAACCAAGCACAAAGTATGTTGACTTTGTAAGTTTAATAGCAGGGGATTTTATAGGAACTACAAAATTAGGGCTGTGTGAAGCTTTGGTTGCTGATTGATTCGGCGGAGATTCAGCCTGAATCGGCAGCCAAATCTCCAAATCTGAACTGAATCAGGAGACCCTTTAATCTTTCCGAATCAAATCGGAACCCTCTGAATCGATTCAGAGAGATTCGATGATTCAGAAACAGACAGCTGTAAATGATTTTTCTACGTACCTTGAGGTTAGGGGTGTGCGAAGCAGGCCATATTTGATTTGGATTCGGCCCGAATCAGGGACAGTGATTCCATTCATTGATTCGGATCGCTGTCCCTGATTTGATTTCACCGAATCCAAAGATTCAGTGCTGATTTGGAGAATCAGTGATTCAGCCAGACACAGCTTTAAATGTTTTTCCTACATATCTCGAGGTACCAGAGCGGCTTGTGAACGCTGCAATGCTGGGGTGGATGGAGCATCCCACAGGAGCATGGTGCTCCCCGTCCTCCCCACAGCGTGTTCAGTAGCAAACCCAGGAGTGGACCAGAAGTACTTCTGGTCCACTTCCGGGTCTGGTGGGGAGTGCGCGGGGGGGGCCCCGGCTCCCCCCCGACTCAGTGATCAGCCATGGAGGGACCCTGGGTGCCCCCCCTCCCCCCCCCGATCCAGGAGGCACCAGTTGCCAAGCCGAGAGAGTGCGGGCGGACTCCCCAACATGCTCTCCAGTGGATCTGGAAGTGACCAGAAGTGCTTCTGCTGTCGAGCGCGCTGGGGAGCCCCCCCATGCTCCTGCAGGACGCTCCATCCGTCCCAGCATCGCAGTGTTCACAAGTCACCTGGTACCTCGAAATATGTAAAAAAAACATTTAAAGCTGTGTCCATGTTTGAATCTCCCCAAATCAATTCAGAGAGTTCTGATTTGATTTAGAGAGATTAAAAGATCTCCTTATTTGATTCAGATTTGGAGATGTTTGCCGAAATGGGCCAAATCTCTGCCAAATCGAATCAGCGACCCAAGCTTTGCACAGCCCTACTCAAGCTACCAGGCTGAGATGCTGGGGCAGATGAAGCGTCCCACAGGAGCACAGGGGGGTCCCCAGCACGTTCAGCAGTGGACCCGGAAGTCGACCAGAGGCATTTCTGGTCCACTTCCAGGATCACCACCGAGCCCGCGGGGGGGGCACCCCCCCCCCCCCCCCCCCCCTGTGGGATGCTTCATCGGCCCCACCATCACAGTGTTCCCAAGCCGCACCTGGTACCTTGAGGTATGTAGAAAAAACATTTAAAGCTGTGTCTATGGCCGAATCACTGATTCTCTGAATCAGCACTGAATCTTCAAATTCGGATTCAGATAAATCGAATTGGGACAGTGATCCGAATCAATGAATTGAATCACTGTCTAAGATTTGGGCCGAATCCGAATTGAATACGGTCTGTTTCACACACCTCTACTGCAAATCCCCTATGTCTTTAATGTCACAACACTGAAAAAACTGTTGAAAAATAAATTGATATAAGCACCTTGAAAAATAAATTATATACTACAATGTACGTATGACAAAAATATCCACAGGATACAAGTGCCAAAAGGATGTTTATTTTCTACTGAAAATGATATACAGCTCGGTAAAGAGATTTGTAAAGATCACCTTCTGTTCTTACCTGACTGGCTATAAGGTAAAGGAGCTCTCCAAGGGTGGGTAAAAGGCATTGTTTCAATTTACTATTCCTGAAGTTTTCCCTGATCAGTTCGGTTAAAAGTGTAACAGCCTAAAATGCAAAACCAAACAAGAAAAATATTAGAACACTATTACAAGATGTGCCTGAATAGCAGTCTTTCTTCAAGCAAAATTAAATATGAAAGCAATTTTAAGATTTGCTTAAGACCCAACCCCAAGTCTCTATTCCTTGGACAAATCTTCCATTCTCATACAACTAGGTTAGCAAGGAAAGACAAGAAAGTAATCTGTTAAACAGTTATAAGCTGTTGCCTAGAATAAAGAAGACCAGAGCAGCCTGTCTAGTGAGCCCCAAGAATTATATAGGGAAATTAACCCACTAAGAATTCACAGCAATACCTCCAAGAGTGGTCCTTCATAGGGAAGCTGAGAGGAAAGAGATCAGCTAGTGCACGGGTTGCCAATACAGGACTACAATTAAATATGGCAGAGAGAGGACAATAAATACCCTTTCCCTTACTTTGCAATTTTTCTGGAAGAGGGTCCCAAAACTTAACTTATCATGGGGTCACTATGCAAAAAGAAAAATCATAGGTCTAGATATTAAATTAAGAGAGTGGGAAACAAAACTCCAGGGCTCCCTATTTTTTACTTAACCAATGACTTGCTATGTACCACTAAATAAGTCACTTGACCTTTCTGTACATCAGGTTACCCATCTGTGATAAGTATTATGTCCATACCTCATAAGCAGTACCGTAAAGTCGAAGGCAAAATTCTGGACAGGCAAGATGCAGCAAGCAACATTTATGCATTTACTTAGTAGGACTGTAACCTGGCACTCAATCAGGACTTGATTAAGAGAACATGCGCCTTCCCCCCCTCCCATCCCACTGCCCCCCAGCTTCTGCACCATGAACCAGACAGAGCACAGAGTGCTGGCTTAGGCAGATGGTTAGGCTCTTTAAATTCCCACTCATATTGTGATGTGCAGCAGGCATAAGACAGGACACCAACTTAATCTCTGTTTTAAATGAGGGGGTAAACTCAGCCATTTTCCCCTGCTCACAAAACATCCTTCTCCTTCAACGGTAGAAAGGCTCTGTGTCAACGGCAAACTCTGGCAGTGTGCTTTTCACCCCCACATCCAGATCATTGATGAAGATGTTGAAAAGCATTGGTCCAAGTACCGAACCCTGGGGGACCCCACTGGCTACCTTCTGCCAGGTCGACACAGATTTGTCTACTAGTACCGTCTGGGTAGAACCCCGCAGCCAGTTTCTCACCCATCTGAGCATTGAATTGTTGAACCAGTAGTCCCCTAGTTTTACTTTGAAAGCCTCATGGGACACCAAGTCAAAGGCCTTCCTAGAGTCTAAGTAAATGACATTGACCTCATGTCACTTATCCAGGTAGGAGTAACCTGGTCGTAGAAGGAGATAAGGTTAGTCAGACATGACCTACCCATGACAAAACTACGCTGGCTGTTGTTCAGAATTTTGCCTTCTACTAGCTTATCACATACGGGTTCCTTGAGAAATTTTTCAAGATCTTTCCTTGGATTGAGGTCAGGCTGACCGACCTGAAGTTCCCTGGGTCCTCTCTCCTCCCCTTCTGGAATATGGGCACAACACTGGCCTTCTTCCAGTCTTCTGGGGCCTCTCCCAAGCACCACAAATTCTCAAAGAGGTTAGCCAGTGGTCTTACAGTGACTTTGGCTAGTTCGTTCAGCACTTTCAGATGGAGTTCACCCAGTCCTGCTGACTTATACATACCAACCTCTCTAGCTGTTCTTTCACCAGCTCTACATTGACTGTTGGTATGTGATCATGCCTACTGTGACTATTCTCTGTCATATTTGCATTCAGCAGGCTATCACTCTTAGACTGGTGGAATACAAATGCGAAGTACTCGTTCAGGAGTTCAGTTTTCTCCCTGATGTCAGTGATCAGATGTCCAGATGCACTGAGCAGTGGTCCCACATTTCCACTGGTTTTTCTCCTGTTACCTGCGTACCTATAGCAGGACTTCTTATTGTCCTTGATTTCAGTTGCAAACCTGAATCTGGTTACTGCCTTTGCTTTTCTAATCTGCCCCCTACAGGTGTGAGCCAATCTTAAGCAGTTCTCCTTGGGGCCTATTCCTAGCTTCCATCATTAGTAAGCTTCCCTTTTCCTTTTCAGAAGATCAGCCCCTATGTAACCTTTTTTGTGTACAGGTATGGACAACATCTGTGCTCCAAGGATCGTGTCTTTGAGGAATGAGCACTCTTCATCCACACTTTCCCTGCGGTCACTGTTGCCTATGTTCCCCTCTATTGTCAGATCACTCACCAGGTCATCCCCCTTGGCCAAAATCTAATCTTCCTCTGGTTGGCCTGTATACTTCCTGAGACAGGGAGAGCTTGTCAATACAAGTCAGGAATCTATGTGACTGGTAAGATATGGAACAAGTGTTCTTCCCAGGAGATGTCTGGGTAGTTAAAGTCACACATAGTATTTGATAAAGGTTCCTTCAGAGGATCTGATAAAAGAGATCCTTTATGATAAATGTTCTGATAAAAAAGTTCTGATAAAAGCCCTTTCAGATGATCTGATAAAAGTTAAAATACCTTGAAATATTTTGTCTCTGATAGCATATTATCATATTTACTCAAATACAAAATGAGGTTTTTTCCCCCCAGTCCGCAAGGGGAAAAAGCCCCTCATCCTACATTCACATACAAGGACACCTCACTAAATACATTGTCCATTCATAGATTGTAAGGGGCTAGAAGGGACTTTGCAAAATCACTGGGTCCAGCCCCCTGCACTAGGCAGAAAAGACAACTGGGGTCAGGTTACCCCAGCAATGTGACCATTCAGTCTCCTCTTGAAGATTTCCAGGGGAGGTGATTGCACCACCTCTGGAGGGAGTTTATTCCACAGTGTGGACACCCTAACTGTGAAGAAGTTTTTCCTAGTGTTAAGCCTGAAACCATCTTCCAGAAGTTTGTCCCCAAGTCCCTCAGCCTTTCCTCATATGGCTTGCCTTGCAAGTCTCTGATCATACAGGTGGCTGTTATCTACACTCTCTCAAGCTTTCCCATGTCCTTGTTGAAGTGCAGCACCCAGAACTGGACGCAGTACTCCAGCTGTGGTCTCACCAATGCCGAGTAAAGTGGAAGAATCACTTCCTTGGTTTTACATAAGATACATTGGTTGATACATGCCAGAGTATTGTTTGCCCTGCTGGCTACAGCATCGCACTGATGGCTCATATTCATACTATGATCTATTATTACCCCAAGGTCCCTTTCAGTCATGGTGCCAGTCAGTATGGCACCACCAAGCCTGTATGTTGGGGACTGTTCGTCCCCAGATGGAGAACTTTACACTTCTCAATGTTGAACTTCACCTGGCTCCAATCCACCCAACTTGCCAGCCTGTCAAGGTCCACCTGTATCTGCAGCCTATTTTCAAGTGTGACTATGCTCCCCCATAACTTGGTGTCATCTGCGAACTTGGCCAGTGAGCTCTTCACCCTCACATCCAAATTATTGATAAAGATGTTGAAAAGCAACTCCTGAAGGACACCACTGGCCACTTCTCATAAGGATGACACAGATCCATTCATTAGAACTCTCTGGGTCCTACCCCACAGCCAGCTTCCTATCTGTCACAATGCAGGGTCCCCAGGGATGGCCATGATGCCCCTAGGGCTCCAAGACCATGCCAGCTTTGCCCCGTGGGCACCTTCTAGTCTTTCCTGCCACATCTTGTTGATTTAGATAAGGTAGGTAGGCTGCCCTCAAGTTGCTGTGCAGTCATGGTCCTGATGAACCCCACTAAACCCTGTAAGTTCTTAGACCCTTTGCTGAGTCCCACTCTAAGTAGGTGCCCCGCGGTACACCCCAAGCCTTATAGGCTAGATGCATGGCTCTGAAAGCGCCCCTTTACCATGCCCCATGCCTTGCAAGATGGTACGTCAATGTTGTCCCTATAATGAGGTCTTGACCTAATTCATCCTTCTGTTATCACTGGGCCCCTGTCCCCTGTTGCGGTGCCCCCTGGCACTGGGCTCTTCCCAGCCCAGTCACGGTGCCCTCTCTGGCACTGGGGCTCCACATGGTAGTGTGCCCCCTATGAGGCCTCCTCCTCCCCAATTAGCCTCATCCCGGTCCACCGGTTCAAATAATAATATAAATACAAGCCCCTGGGCTACAACATAACCACAACACTGAAGACCACACTCTTCCCTTTTAAGGAGGCAAGCTTCTCTCTCCATAACGTGCATCCCCTAGCCCCAGGTACTTTAGGAGCTCTTGGAGCCTGTTAGACTTATCAGTAGCAGAACAGGCAACCAAGCATCTCCGCGTAAGTTTTCCTGCAAGAGCTCCTTCTCCCTAGCTGCTGCCAAAGATCTGACTTCTGCCAGTCCTGGCCCTGAGGCTTACATGTGCCCAGACCCCGTCTCCTTCCGGTCAGCTGACGGGGTGCAGGTGCCAGCTAATTCCCTCATTAGCCTGCTGCCAGGGCAACCTGCAGCTGTGGAGCGCTACTTAGCTCTCAGGGCTCTCTAGCTAGGCTGCTTCTGCTCTTAAAGGAGCAGGCACACTTGAGTGCCCTGCAACACTACCCACCTAACTATTGAGCAGTTAAGGCCACAATCCTCCAATTTTCCCATGAGAACATCATGGAATACCAGATCAAAGGCCTTTTGGAAGTCTAGGTATACAATGTCGACCTCTTCTCTCTTATCCAGGTGGCAAGTTACCTGGTCGTAGAAGGAGATGAAATTGGTAAGACAAGACCTACCCGCAACAAAGCCATGCTGCCTGTCATTCAGAATCCTACCTTCTGCAAGTGTATCGCACATAGACTCCTTGAATTTTTCCAGGATGTTCCCTGGGATAGAAGTTAGGCTAATTGGCCTATAGTTGCCCATGTCCTCTTTCCTCCCCTTCTTGAAGATGAGCACAACACTGGGTCTCTTCCAGTCATCAGGGATCTCCCCCGAGCGCCACAAGTTTTGAAAGAATTTCACCAGAGGTCCTGTGATGACTTTGGCCAGCTCCTTCAGCACTCTCAGATGAAGTTCATCCGCCCCTGC